TTGTGGTAATATATATAATTTATTGGACCTAACTTAGCTGGAAAAATAAATATGAAGGTAACATTTAATTTAATTAGTGCATTTTATGTGTATTTATTTATTTATTTATTTATTCGTATATTTCTGCTTTTATTTGTAATTATGTCAGATTTGGTCCTCCACATGAGAGAGTAGGTCGCGGATCAAAAATGTTCAAAGATACACACGATGATGAGTTGATGTCAACAGATTATGGATGGGTTTATTCTGTGGTTTTCTTGTAAACACTCATCTAAGAGAGGGGAAAAAAAGCTGATTCCAGATTTAAATAATTACCATCCTTATATCCTGTTTAAGAGCCATGAGTGAGAAGTACTAAAGTGAACTGATACAGATGGTCAAGAACTCATCTCAGCACCTGGAGTTCATCTACTGAGGACAAATAGATTTGTGTTGTTTTGTCTCAGGAATGCTTTATTTGTAACCGTGTTGTAACGTCACCATCTAGTGGTCTGTGTTGTACTGTTGGATTTTAAAGGTGCTCATCGCAAGGTTGTGAAAAATAGGAAAAGAGACTAAATCTGCATATTTTCCCCCTTATATCGATGTGTCCTTGAATTAATTAAAGCTGTTTTGGTGCATTTTTAGGCTCAGATTAAATATACAGGTAAAATGTTTTGTTTATGTTGAGTTTAGACCCACATTTTAGAATTTCAAATGTGGGAAAACTACTGGAGTAAACCCTAATCTTAACCTTGTAATGAGTTACTTTAATGCCTCGCTGTCGRTTTATAATTTTGTAACTTGTATTATTTGTAAAAAAAACAAAATAAATCAACTTCTCGTCTTTGTTTACCTCAAAATCAACACAAGAGCAAGATTTGTTGTAAATGTAATAAGATTTATTAAGAATCTTTATTATTCCATCAGCATAATTCTTCATTATTAATGTTTTAATCATTTATCTTTATCATAAACAGTGGACAGTTAGATCTAAAATGCAGCCCAAAGTGTACAGGCGATATATAACTTAAAACTTTCTCCATAGGGAAAACACGTTTTTATATTCATATATAATATCCATGTAGCATGAGGTCCAAGATTCTGCCCACATTATACAGTATTGTACAT